AAATAAGTACACCATCCTTTGTGATCACAAGATGTTGAAGGGATCAGGTATCAGGCATCAAAGAACAAAAAATCAAATCATTGTGAATGAGGGGGAGTGCAGATTGGGGACCCAAGACCCGTCTATAGGCGACTAGACATCCCCTTACAGAAGAGTCACAGGGAGAAGACGAGCCAGTCAGGGTTCCGTGTAGCAACAATAAAACATACAACTTTCATCTAGTTCCTAAATACCTGTCCTCCACCCTCAGACAACCATGATCCCAATTCTACCTTACAAATCTGGCTAGACCAGAGCATGTACACTGGTACAGATAAGAACCGGAAACACAGGGAATCCAGGACCGTTGATCCCTTTAGGACCAGTGCTGAAAATGGCGATACGGGTAGGGTGGAGGGAAGATGGGGTAGAAACGTGGAACCAATTACAAGGATCTACATATAACCCCCTCCCTGAGGGATACACAAGAGAAAAGGAGGTGAAGGGAGACATCGGACAGTGTAAGACATGACAAAATAATAATAGTTTATAAATTATCAAGGGTTCGTGAGGGAGGGGGATGCGGGGAGGGAGGCGGATAAAATGAGGAGCTGATACCAAGGGCTCAAGTACAAAGTAAATGTTTTGAGAATGATGAGGGCAACGAACGTACAAACGTGCTTGACACAACAGATGGATGGATGGATTGTGGTAAGAGTTGTACGAGCCCCCAATAAAATGATTTTTTTTAAAATAATTGTGAGTTATTTGTGGTCCCTGAAATGAACCAATGAACCCAGCGGAGTGGTAGAGTACCCTAGGAGGAATAGTTGGTGTAATAATACCATAAATAAGGAAAGAAGGAAAGAAGATCATGTCTGACCTCTTATGGCAACCAGGTGAACTTTGCTTTTCCTTCTCCCTTCTGTTGCCAGAGGTCAGATATGGCCTCTGAACCTTTCTCTCAGAATCACACTATTGCAAGTTACTTTTAATAAGGAGAATTATGCATGAGGATGGGGGTGTACTTAGTACATGGGAACTTTGTATATTCTACACAATATTTCTGTAAACCTAAAACTGAAGTAAAAAATAGTCTTATCTGAAAAACACATATTTATAAATGTGTGTGCATATAGACTCAAACACATATACCTACATCTTTTGAACAAGTAATTCTGCTTCTAGAAATTTATTCTATGAAAATAGTTAAAAATTAGTATCAGGGTCAATACACGCTTTCGTTTAATATCCAAAAAGTAGAAGCAATTTAAACTAGCCAAGAAAAAATTTCAAGTAAGCTATAGCTTCATTTGAAGGTAAAGAAAAGTCATTTAAGACTATGTTACTTAAGAATATTAAGTAGCAAAAAAATATATATATATATTAAGTAGCAAAAGGAAATAAAGCTATACTATTAAATAATAAAAAGATTTTATAAAAATGTAAAATCTCGTTTTAAATACACCAAATGTTAACTGTTTATTAAAACAATGGTGATCTTACAGATGACTGCATTTCTTTTGTTTTTAAAGTTTTTTAAATTTGTGACTTTTATAAAGAATGTTAATCAGTTATTAGTTTTTGGCTTTTTAAAATCTTTCTCAACTTTTTTTTTTTTTTAATTACTTTCTCCATTAAAATAAATTGTCAGAGCAGAGAGCCCTCGAGGGAATACAAAGGACAGACTCTGGGGCCAGAGCATGGCACCCCATCGGTCCTGACTGAAGGACACATAGGGATCAAAAATCAAACCTTGATCTATTTACAGGTTTTTCTTTCTGTTTAAAAACTTTTTCTTTTAATTAATTTATTCTTCTAAGGGTAATTGGTTTCCTTTTTTGTTGCCATCACTGTGTTCTCACTGATCGCCTA